CCGATTTGTACACGCGGTGAACAAACACACACACCCAGACAGCGCTGGTGCACTTTCAACGAACACATTTCAGCGTCTTAGCAGCCCATTTCGTGGTGAATGTGCACTGCGATCGCGGCGGTCCGTCATCGGGGCCAGCTGGGCGGCCAGTCCACCATTTGGGGTCAAGTTTCCGCCACTTGTCATCCACTCATTCTCTCAATGAATATCTTGTCTTACAATGTTCAAGGACCGCACGGAAATTGTGGCTAGTTATGAGCACTGTTCTGAGTCATCCACCTCCAGCACCATTATCAGCCTTCGCGTCCATTCCCCTTGAACAGATTCTTCTGTAATTCTGAATCCCTCGATTGCGCATTTTTTCAAATTGTACATTGAAAAATAGGTACCCTCTATTTCGGAAAACGAGAAGAGCGTCGAGTGCAGACCACACATCACAAGTGACGACGGCCGAGAAAAAGTGGCTTTTGTCCTTTCCGTCGTCACTGTGTGGTCTGCACTCGACCTTCTTCTCGTCTTCCGAAATAGAGGGTAGAATGAACCTCATCCCCGTGCTTTACATAATACTTATTCGCACGACACGTCAAGCGACCGCTCGCGATACGCCACGACACGTCAAGCGACCGCTCGCGGCACGCAACGCAGTGCATGAATGCACGACCTATTCCGTTTGGAAAAAGCGTGATATCCCTGATGAAAAAGATCCCTGTCACATTCCGATCTCACAAGGATTATCACAGACCAAACTGGAATCATAGCAGAGGTTCATGAAAAGTTTTGTAGATCATTCCCCATCCAATAGAACTGATAATGGTGCTCCTGTTAATGATCTCAGTTCCCGCCATAATCGGATCATCGAATTATCGAATTATCACTTGGGAGTGGCGGCTTTGCCCAACGGATACACTGATACTCTTTCTTGTTAACAAGTTTCTCTTATTTACTCTATTTCTCTTCTCTTCTCCTATTTCACTGCGTTCAGCTTTTTGTACAAATCGATTTTGAACAGCAGAATGTGGTCTCATCCAGTAAGGGGGGGGGGGGAGGATGTGGTGCGATGGTTCTTGCCGGTTACAGAAATTCTAATTTTTGCAAGGGGATGGAGTCGTTGGGTGCGTGGAATATTCGCTTAGCTTTTACACCCACTCCGAAGCTTTCTCCTGCAGAAAAACTGGGGGGGGGGGGGTCTATTCCAGTTAGGGGGGCATCATGATGCAGTTTCTCGGCGAACTAGTGTAAACTCGAACATTCCAGCTTCTCACGCATGTCAAGTGACTGCCCTCACCCCCACCCCCCTAGGCTGGCTACACTCCCCCTGGCTCGGAGTTACCCTACTCTTTGGAAAAACTTTCCCTAACTTCGGAATAGACCCAAAACTATCAATTTAGGCGATATGTAACTGACTCGAAGCCACATGCCCCCCCCCCTTCCCAGGTACTGCGCATGAGGCCTGTATATTTTTCGAGTGATGACTTTTTTCGTGGTTGTAAATATTGTACTGCAAAAGCTCTTATAGGCATTTCACACTTTTTCGTCACCTTTTTTTCTTTACGATTAACATTTTGCAGCGTAGAAACGTTCACATTTCAGGAACAATGGCCTACGTGCCATCGTCAGACGTGCCGTCGGCATTTCTCATAAGTTCTGGTGAGTGTTTACATTTGAATGTCTTAACTTTCTTTGAAAAGCTTTTGTTCTTGCATGAGACACTTCTGCGAACAGTACAAGCATGGGACTGGCTCAGCAGTAACAACTAGTTTTTACCCATCTGTTGGTCTGACCTATTGGGAAAACTAATCTTCCAATTGTTGAGAATATTTTCTTTTTGAATTTTATTATTTTGTACCATGAGGATGAAGGATGAGGCATCCAGCGCTAACCAATCCCTTTTCTTGGGGGGCGCAAACCTTTGTGTGTCTGCATTTTTGTTTGTATTCGCCAGGTCTGCTGGTTACGAAGACCTAGGAAAGTAGCTATGGTATACCCCAGTAGGCTAGCGATTGCGATGGTAGTAGTGGGCTCAAACGTAAACATACCTCTATTTCGGAAGACGAGAAGAAGATCGAGTGCAGACCACACACCATAAGAGACGGCCAAGAAAAAAAAGCCGCTTTTCTCTTGGCCGTCGTCTCTTATGATGTGTGGTCTGCACTCGATTTTCTTCTCGTCTTCCGAAATAGAGTATACACGATAGTGGAAGGAGTTGAACTGTATTGGCGGGCTGAGCTTACCGTTTTCCATGTCCATTTCTCCATTTTGACTCTAAAAGGGCCTAGGCTAGCAAATGGAAGCAGAAGGCCGCTTGAACTGAACTAGAAATATTGCAAAGGTGTTGAGCTGTGTTTCTACACAAAAGATACACGTGAACAAATGCAAGCAGTTGTCGGATTATGCCCGGCCACCCGTCTGTGACAGATGTGTGCAAATAGATAAGAACTAACAAAGATTAGCGATAGGCTTGGCTAGGCCTCCGCCTCATTAGAGCAACAACCCCAGATGAGGTCGTGTCGAAGAATCTGTTCTGTGGGTGGGATAGAGTAGCCCACGAGTATCACAGATGTGCCGTTGTCGCGGCTCGAAAGTGCGCGACAATGGCGCTAGGGCCTTACAAAGTGATCTGATGGCGACTAATGTGAACTTACGGACGAGATACCTCGCGCTCGCCCTCACACAACGTAGGATTACGACGTAGCGGATAAGATAGCCGATAGGTAGATACCTAGATTAACGGCCTCACTACATTGATGCAGTTGCGCTCTAGAAAGTCGTCTAGACTCATCCTTTCCACGCCGTCATCAGTCGCTGTTACCTCACCAATTTGAATTTGGGATTGTTGCTTTAAGTCTTGATGGTGGGCATAGATATGTTGGTACATTGACGCGAAACCCAAAGAAACTTTTCCAACTTTTTTGCGCGATATTGCAACGGAACCCACATTTTTCAATGAATGAAGACTTCGGCATCTGCCAAAACTGCATGCATCCCAAGGGAAGAGAGGAGCGGAAACGGAAGCTTGACGACATGGACTTTTGTCACTGAAAATAACGCAGCAGCATTTCATGCAGATGTCAGCTTTCTTATGCCTGCTGTGCTTGAAGGGACACATAAACACTGCTCTCTTTCGTTTCGGTGAGGAAACAATATCACGGGACCATCAAATTCCCAAGGAGTAAAATTTGGTCGCAACTAAAATAGCAACGGAAGTGTCTAACGCTCAGTTTACAAAAGTGCTACGCTGTACTGAATGAGTAGAAAATCAAGTTTTATGAGTTGGTCCGTTAAAAAATGAATTAGGCACTTAACCTCATAGTGTTAAACTTGAAGGTTGACTACAAAGCCGCGGCTCACCTTTCTCCGGCGTATGATTGAGATTCGCCGCAAGATCACACGTCACATTTTATTTGACGTCTTCTAGGGGCACGGTATTATTGGATCTGCTCTTTGAGGTGTGAGTGGCTGGGATGGTAAACTTTTTCGCTTTCCTGCGCCGAGCGCTTCTCGACCCACACCTCCATTTTTTCGCACCGTTTTGTCCCCGAGACGCTCTCCTTCTTGGGTCCCTGGAGTGGGGGAAACAATCAATTCAAGCGATTTTCTCGACCGTCTTTGGGCCGGGGGTTCAATCCGGAGCGGGCATCTTCTTGATCAGCATGGTCCTCTTTTTCAGGAAGGGTCCCCAAAAACCCTTTCTCAGCGCAGTAAAATCTTTTCCTTCCTGACACACTGTCTTTAAAAAGTCTGCTAAGCGCGCATGGGGGGGGGGGGGAGTATATTGGCTTTATTGGTCCAAAAGGTCTCATCGTTGGGTAGGCTTTTTTAGTAGAGGCGTCGGATACAGTAATCAAGTGACGATCGTGTGATGTTTTTGCGTTTGGGGATTTGCAGTCTGCAGATTTGACGATGTGCGGCGGCATCCATGAAACCCATGTTCCCCACGATCACGGATTTTGCAGACTGCAAAGAGTGGCCTGTTTGCTTTTAAAGATGCTCTGTTTGTAAAGACATCAAATGTTAAATACCTTTCAAAAACCTGTTGATTTAATGTGTTGCAGATGCTGACGCAGTTCTTCTTGATTTGCTGGGAACGTTCGTGTTACTCGATGGAGGCTCTGAGAAAGTGCTATTCACCAAGCATGTGCGACAGGTATGTATAGTATTTAAGGTGTGTGGGCGTGTGAGGAAGGGGGAGGGTGTGATCAGCTCTACATGCCCTCTATATCGAAAAACGACGCACCCCTTGAACCGAAGTCCCCTTCTATTTCGGGAAACGAGAAGAGCGTCGAGTGCAGACCGTACTCCACAAGTGACAACGGCCAAGGATAAAGAAAAGAAAAAGGAATGGAAATCCAAGAAAAGGTTTTTTCTTGGCTGTCGTCACTTATGGTGTGTGATCTGCACTCGACACTCCTCACGTTTCGCGAAATAGGGGAACTTCCTCCCTGATTCCGAAAACTGGCTGCATACGCCCTCGTAAAGAAATCAGTAATGAAGCAAGTAGATGAATGCTTGTGCAACCAAGGGTTATCCTATCGTTAAAAATCCAGTGCGTCTTCCCTGTGTGGTTCCATAAACAATAGATAACAAACCGTAGCTTAATCAATCTTTTTGCGATACGCTGTACATTCTTCCTTGATCCAATATCGTAGGCATTTGCTACGATTAGTCCCTTGCCATGAAATGTATGGATTAGCCAACGAACAAGTCTTGTTGTTTTGACATTTCCTGACGACTGTTTAATCGGCTGGCCGACCCCAAAAGAATTCAACCTAGTTGGTCTTTGCGGACTCGATCATCTTGGATTGAACCTCGGGTTTTACGCTTGGAAGCGACTCCACTTTTAGTCGCGAGATAATCGGCCTCATCACAAAGCAGTTTCTTTTGCGAAGTATTCAGTGCACTTAAACCAGCTCGTAGTTTGAGGTGAAGATTACTGGCTTATGCAGTATAGGCGACCGTGAACGTTCAATCTCGGACGAAGTGTTTCACTTCATTAATATTACAACTCCAGATTTTCTTTTGCCTAATCTTTTCAACATTGATGTGGTCTCAAGGGAAGTAGATAAAATATCTATCACGGGACCACACGCAATGATCTTGCCATAGTTTTGTCACGCTGTCGCCTTCTTTTCCTATTTTTGCCGTTGATTTTTATTTGGGAACGTATTTCACGTCGCTTATTGGACCCTGTTCCTACAATCTCTATAGACAGTTTTAGTTAAACTGCGCATAAGCTCACGAACTATGTAGAGCACCGTGTCATTTAGAAATATTTTTATCACACGCGTAAATGCTACGTTTTCAGATTGATGCTAACGTGATCAGCGCTCCGACGAAAGCAGCTTTGACAAATGCCGTGGAACTGAATAAGGTATTTGATTTTACTATGCTTCTAGTTTCAACTACATTGTGGTTTTCGCGAGCGGAATTTACGGCTTTTTAGTACCGAAAAAGTCACTTTGATTGTAAAAATTTCATATTTGGATCATTCTGTCGTAATCCACGATAAAGCCTACCCTTGCTTTCCTTCTCAACATTTATGTCAAATTTTGTTAAAAGTTTTCCGAGCATTTGGTTAACGACTTAGCGACACAATTAATAGCGCTAATCTCTCTCTGAAACCCCTTCTAATTGTTGATTTCTTCTTAGAAACTTCAATATGGTCACATTGTTTTTAAGGTTTATTTTAAATATCTATTTCTCTATTTCCATTTATTTCTATTTTTAGGAAACAATCGTTCCCCTAGTTGGAAATATTCCTACAGTCAAATCAGCAGGCTCTGACGGATCTGTTGCTAGCCTGTTGAAGCGCATCGAGCAAGCATCTGAAGGGCGACCGGTTATTACACCAACACGTTTCAATCCTAAATACGAGCCCATTGTCATCAGCAAAGTGAGCTCTAGTCCAATTCATCTGCAACCTCTTTTTTGTCCGCTTATTTGTTTGCCTTTTCAGTCCCTCCGTAGCGGACGCTTGGAACTAACCGTTCTCGCTGGTGAACCCAAAGAGGTAGAAGCACTACAAAAAGCTGTCGAAAGTGGTGATGAACACCTCATCGAGAAGGTTCCTTTTTTCGAGCATTCTCATATATTAGATACCTGAGAGTAAATTTTGATTTAGGCTGCTTCCAGTCACGGAACCATCTCTGTGTTGGTTTGGTTCCCTGCCAGACCATCCGATCCAATCAAGAGAATCCTACACACAGGTAAATCATTTCCACTTTTTTCAACTTCCATCTAGTGCTTTGAATCGTACACCTCAAATCCATACGCATGAATCATATATTGAACAATAACGACTATTACCACTACTGTATTGCCATGGAATGATTTGTCAGCTTGCCATGGTTATTTTGTGGTTTTTGTCGATATATGTGGTTCGTGCTGGCTGTATGCTCAAATTCCTCACCCTGAATATCTGAAAATGATTGTGGCGTTTGGTCTGGGGTAAACGACGACAGTTCAGTTATGGCTATTTGACGAGTTTGCACAGCTAGCGGTTGAAACACGATAAGCTGTTAAACAGACATATTTTACATTCTTCGCACCTTTTTTCGAGGGCTTATTGTTGCTGACCCCTAATTTGTACGTTAAGCAGGTTGAGTACTCTATCAACATAAAATATATCATCAATATAAAGAACTGGAAGAGGTAACGTCCTAGGGTTTCTATTCATCGTTAATTTTCTTAATGATCTCATTTTTATGACAACTGTTTTCGGTAGTTTATAGTACCGTTTTAAGGCACAGCACCATTGGCTCGAATCATAAATGCTCTGGAGAAGGCTAGAGCACTACCATTTTTGCACAGTCCCGTTGTATCGGCGGCCAATGCCTTCAAAGAAGTGCCTCCACCGGCAAGAATTGCAAACTCCAGAGGAACGGTTCCATCGCGGGTGTCGTCAGCAACAGTCAAATCCAACTCGACAGCAGCTGCGGCCAAGGTGTGTTTTTGCGTTTTTACCCGAGGGCAGGCTAGAAAAGATTGTCAGTTATCAGTTTTTTCATGAGTTGGTTAGAAAATTTTCCAGCCTGCGCCTACAAAACGACCTGTTGCACCAGTTTCTCATGTACCACCAGCGCGGATTACTTCGTCGGCGGCAAATAAGTCTGGTAAGCTTCACGTAAAATCCCCATTTGCGAATGTAGTATGTATGTGATTACTCTTCCCCATTTGCGAATGTAGTATGTATGTGATTACTCTATTTTCACTCGATCCGAAACATACGGCTTTAAAACGGTGACTTTTTCTGCGATCTCGTTTTCAAATCCTGTTTTAAATTCACCCCTTTCGGGACTGGTTTTTAGCGTTCAGAAGCGAGCATTTCATTTTCGGGCTGCAAGCCTCAAGGTGACCGTCAAAATTTAGAACGTTATTAGCTTTTGGATTTTCATTCCTGACTGATTTCACAGGGGGTTGAAGCTAACAAATGTCGAAATAACTTTTTTCTACTGTCAATAGATTTATTTATTTATTTATTTATTCATTACAATACACTCAAAGGTGTGCACAATCACAGGAAATCTATCACGTAGGAAAAGCACTTGAACGTCCTGATCTTTTTTTAAACTCATTCCTTCTCTCATTACAGCTCCAGCGAGTGCCAAACCATCGCCAGCTCGTCCTCCTGCTGCAGCTGCCCCGTCTAACCGTACGCGAGCGGTCGCTTCATCTGCAGCGGTTAAACATGCCGCTCCCACAAATAAGACTGGATCATCTTCAAACAATAAGAAGACGGTAGCACACGAGGCACCAGCACAGAAAACCACTGTGTGGGTTAACTAGTTTAGGAATCTGTTTCATATAAGTTACTTCAAAATCTTGGTTCAGAACTCCTGTGAAAGGGGCGGCAATGTCTCGTGCGTCTGCCGCCAGCGGGAAAGCGGCAACATCTGTTGTTGGTAAGGCATCTGGTACGGTACCGTCCAAAGGTGTCCCCTCAAAAACTAACCGCTCTGCTCCTCCAGCTCCTGTGCCTGCGCCAGCACCAGAGGAGGTGAAAGAGCCAGCACCTACCCCCGTCGAACCAATGCCTCCGGTGAGATTTCCTAACTTTATCGGAGTTGTGCTTGTGAACGCTAATATGCTATCTAATCTATTATTCTCAGAAAAAATTAGTTTTCACCCTATTCATGCTAGCCGTGCATTATCGCTATTACATAGTGTAACACTTTCTATTTCTGTAGTGTATATAGTGCCTGAGAACCTGAATGCTTTTGTGTGTTTGGCTTTTGCTTGCTCTCAGCCACATTTCAAATTAGATAACAGCTTTTGTTTTTGTGAAGGCTATTTGCTTTTGTAATGGCTTAGTTGAATGTTGTTGCGTGTATTTTTAGTTGGACGATTCCGTGGTTATTCTTGACGACGTAGTGCCAGATATATGCGTTGACGCCCCTCAAGATCCAGCCTCATCGGGTCTTCACTCTGCTGTGGAACTCCATGTCATTCCACCGACGCCTGAACCAAGATCACAATCAGGACGCTCGTCTGTAGATGGTCCTCTATCTCCTGCACTTGTGCCAAAGTTTGATGGCGATAAATCACCTACTGAGCAGGTATCCGAAGCAATCCGAACATAACTCAAGTGAAACAGCACAGGTGGCTTGTAGCTGCCCTGTAGTATTAGTGTCTTTTTTGAACGGTGTGCGCATGCTTATGTTACGAAAATTTCCTTTCCATAACGTGGATTGTTGTTTATGGAAGTAATGTGTTGTGTTGTAGCACGTGTTGCCAAGTGACGATGACAAGCAAGCCAACGATCTTCCTTCTCCAGTTGCAGCTGATACAGTTCCTCCCTCAGAACATGACTCTCGTGACGGACATGAGCAGCACGAACTCCCATCTCCTGCAGCTCACGAAGAGCACGATCCCCATGCTGGACACAAAGAGACAGATAAACCTGCTACACCGAGCCCACAGTTTGAGACATCTGGTCCTACGGAACCAAGCGCGACACCCAAAGCAACTGATTCGGAGGAATCAGGCGCACTTGCTGATGCAACAGGACCTGCTGTACCAAGTCATCCAGTCGACAAATCGGAACCTTCGGAACCAAGTGCGCCCGTGGACAAAGCTGAACCCGCAGAGCCCCCTGCTCCCATAGTCGAAACTGGAGGTTCAGAACCAACTCGAGATGATGAAAAATCTGAACCTGTAGTCCCAAGCGCACCACCTCTAATTCCCATGCCGGATCCTGAATCTAATGTCGCTCCTGGTCCAAATTCCGAACCTAAATCTGATTCTGGAGCGACTCCTGCGATCGTTGAAATACCTAAAACAGATGATGACATCGTTGGACCAGCGTCACCTTCAAAGCCACCACATGAACATGACGACTCACTACCTAATCCGCCGTTCCATGTGGACGTTACTCCCGCAGAACCTTTCGTGCCGCCATCATTCCACCGTGAAGGTCAAGCATCACCTTCAGATCTTCTAATCGATGATGTTCCTGAAGAGTTTAAGGTTTTTATTTATTCTTCTGCATCTCTAAAATGCTGTTCTCTGTTTGTTGTGGGAGGTCACACAACTTTTTGGGAACGAAGGGATCTGCTGAATGCTGAATTGAGGCCTCCTTTTCAAGTTGGTCGAGATAATCGAAAGCAATTGCTTTTCTTTTTTTTGCAAAATGATGTCATTAGTGCTACCGTAACATCAAGTGCAAGCATTCATTTCGACCTCAGGTTTTTACCAACTTAAAGAAGGAGCTCAGGCGGCTTATTTGTTTACTTGTTGAGCCGTTTCAAATTGCACACTAATTTGATGGCCTTCGAGACATTCTGTTTATTCTCAAATTGCTGTAGATTTAGCTGATGAAGTCGATATTTTAATTTTTCACCGCTGCATTTTTCAGGGTCCTCATACACCACAAGAGGTTGGCGAGAATGGTTTGTTGGATAACCTAGAAGAACCCCCTAAGCTTAGAAGAATCAGCATGGATACTGACGATCTTGAAAAGGCTCTGGAGGTGAGTGTATTCTACCAGTTCTCACAGGAAAGTTATGGGTGCCTTCTTGATTTAGAGAGGTGCTGCGGCTGTGGCTGACCAACTCGCACAGTGCTTGGACTCACTTTCGCTGAGTAATAACAATTCAGATGTACGGTGATCTACTAATTTTTAACACAGACAGACAATAACCATACTTGTCTGCAATGTAATGAGGAAACGAAAATTCATGAAATTTATTATATTTGAAGAAATATATCGAATTGATATTGTATTACCGCTCAAGGGTATTGTTTCTGTTACCGAGCAGATTCTTAGCTGATTGTTTGATTTTGAATCTCTATTAACCCCTTATTACTTATCATTTATGATATTACCAGTTTGGCTGCGCACGCATTCGCGTGCATGAGACGGGGCTGCAGCGGTAAAATCGGGCCCATCAGTATTTTTGTCTTGATTTTAGCTTTCTGCTCGGTACATCTTACTTACGCCGCAAACTCCGCCCACATCCGGGTGTGCCACGCCCAGCGTTCACATTCAACCTCTACTCCTACTTTCACCTCTGGCGTATTTTTTTCAGGTCTCTAAGTCATCTCGGAGCCGAATTATGAGGTCTTGTAAATGGCGTTATGAGTCACGAATTTCTGAGGCAGACCCCGCCCACTTTGGTGCATGGTTAGCCCAACAATGGCATTCAACCCTACTCCATACCTCAATACTTATGCACATTTTCCCCGGTCGCCGGAACTTCTAGGAACCGAGTTATGAGAGCGGTGGCAAACTCCGCCCACATCCGGGTGTGCCACGCCCAGCGTTCACATTCAACCTCTACTCCTACTTTCACCTCTGGCGTATTTTTTTCAGGTCTCTAAGTCATCTCGGAGCCGAATTATGAGGTCTTGTAGGGGACGAAATCGAGCAACGTATCGTTGTGGTAAACCCCGCCCACTTCGTTACATGCCTCGCTCACCGATACCAAATGACTATCATCTCTTTCCCCAACCTCATTCTACTATTTTCCCATCTCCGGAACTTATTGGATCCGAGTTATGAAGTACCGTGGCAAACTCCGCCCACTTTAATGCATGCTCCACCTGCCCACAGCACTTGACCCCCTTCCCTCTGCCAACACTTATACGCTTTTCCCCACACCCCGGGACTCATAGGAACCGAGTTATGAGGCTGGTTGCAAACTCCGCCCACTTTGGTGTAAGCTACGCCCAGCCTTGACATTTAGCTTCTCCTCTTCTCCTAACCTGTATCCACTGTTTTCAGGTTTCCAAGTCATCTCAGAGCCGATTTATGAGCTCTTGTAGAAAACGTCGTCTACTTCAGGACACGCTCCGCCCATTGTGGGCGGACCTCCGTTCACATCATGTGTGCTGGAAATACCTTAGACATCGCTGCCCTGCACTAATTTCTTTTCTGCTCTGTAGGCTTCCTCCTAACCTAGTTATTGATATTTTATTGAGCACCGCTTTTCCAGAGAACGCCCCGCCCACCGAGGGTGGGTCTCCCCAATGCAATCTGGCTTACCGACGCACATTTATAACCACTTTTTGTTCCAGTCTCGAGGCTGTTTTTGACTGTATTTGGAATCAACCGATGCACGCCACGCCCACTGTGGGCGGGGCTCCGCTTGGCTGATGTGTGTTTTTTACTTCTAGGGATATGGTATACCCATCCCAAACTTGACCTGGACCCTGTAGGTTGTTGTTCGCTTGATACCGAATTTCGTGACAGACGGACAGACAGACATAGCGCATTATATATAGTAGGGATAAGCAGCAAGAAATGTATGTTTTCATTTTGCTATGTCAGTTATTGCGTTCTCATTTTAGAACGATGACACGAACAAGAAGGAATCACATGAGGTTGAGTCGAGCAAGGCTGAGTCACATGATGATGAAGCAAGCAAGAAGGAATCGTCTAATCCGGCAGAAGTAGCGCGGAAGCTCAGCCAACAAATGATCGAGGAAGCGTCTACTCCCCTAGCCTCAGCACTAGCATCATCGCTGGCCGAGGGCGCAGGAACTATTCAAACGGTGAGTTCATGTTTATCTCATCTGATCCTTATTTAGGAACCCTAATTACTATTTCACGACTTCACTTTTTCTTTTTTTCTGCTTGCACATTCAAAGCTTAGAAAATTTTCTATGTGATTTGATGGAATTGTGAAATGTGGATGTGATCTTCATTCTTCAGGCCGTTGGTTCAGCATACGAGGGTCTCTGATCGATCTTGCGTCTACAGTTTCGGAAACCGTCGCGGAGGGAGTCAAGGATGCTACGGAACTAGCGCAAGAGAAGGTAAGACTTTCTAATGCAGAATTCTCAGCATTCGTTCAAAGTTCATTCCTTTTGTCATCCAAAATCTTGCGCCCTATGAGGTGCTCCTTGTGTTAGATTTCGTGCGTACTGTGCGTATACTGGTTCTGCTTGTCTTCTTGGAAAAGTAACTTCAAGCATTAAGGCCATTATAAATGCGTGCCTTCGATAAAGGAGTTCTTGCAGTTGTCTTAAAGATACACTGCGCAGAATGCTTGCTAAATAGCTTCAATTTCTTTGATTTAGATGAAGGCAATGCAAACCCGCTCAAGTCTTGTTGAGAACGATGGTGACAACCGTCCCGTGAAATATGAAGAGGTACACAACTATTCTTTTTTTATAGTCGGGCTTGCAGTATTCTTTATGTTTTCCCTATTATTTTTTCGGATTCGAGTGCTTGCCAGTACTACACGCGATTTTGAAGTAAATTTCAGTAGCGCATTGTTTCTCCTCAGCTTCATAGGATTAATGACGGATTGTGGCATGAGTCGAAACTTTTCTTTCCAATGATTTCGATTAAGACGGATCCCGTAATTGACTCAGTGCTGGAAACGGTAGCCACAGACTCAGACCGTGTCGATCATGCACTAAGCAACGGTGGTTCGGGAATGGAGAACAAGGAGAATGGGAAACGACCTGACCATGAGGTACTAGCCATTCAATAGTTTTAGAAAATGGGGCTGGAAGGAAGACTCCCCTCTCCTGTTAATTCTTTACTGTTTTTGCCCTCGCATTCTCAACAAATTAATTGGTGAGACATATGTGTGTGACAATTGAAATTGAGTTCGCGGAATTTCGTTAGCATTTTCCATAAAATTTTGTTAAGGTCGACGAAGACGGTTTTCGTCTTGCCTCGGGTGACCATGATATACGACTTCATCTCCCACCGCTACAGCACCACGTGGAAATCGAGGTTTGATTTTGATTGTTATCAAATTTTGGGTAGCTCCCTACCATCTATCGTGAGTGATTGATTGCTCGCTCCTGTGTCATTTCTTTGCGGTTACCTAAATAATATAACTTATTTCTATTTGTAGTTCACTTGTCAGTTTTTTTTTCGATTTGGCATGCAGTTGCAGCCAATCAGCCCAGTCGTCCCACATAATGAGATAGAAGAACTGGAGCTCTAGTCTTGGTTTTCTATGAACGCGTTTCAACTTTCGTAATGATATTTCCATCCCAAATACGATTCCTCTCGCCATTCATATCAGTAGCATATGTGTACTCCTACACTCTTACATTTCATACTTCCTTTTTTGACTTGTTCAAAACTTTGTCATCAACCTAGAAAGGAGCACACACACATATTCAGAAATAGTTCACAAGGGTGTGGCTCACTAGGACAGAAAGCGGCTTTTTGCGTTTCGCAGCGCGAAACATTTTCCGCTGCGGGAACCTCAGGTCCACCGCTGATCATCAGTGGACCCGAGGTTCCCGCAGCGAATCATCAGTGGACCCGAGATTCCCGCAACGAACAATGTTTCGCGCTGCGAAACGCGAAAAAGTCGCTTTCTGTCCTAGTGAACCACACCCAGTTCACGACACTCTCAAAGTGATCACCTTCTTCTTGGCATAGGTGCGCGTCACCTATGCGTTAGGTACGTTGGTGTACTGATGTCAACGAACTCGAAATTTTAGTTTAATTTTAGTTAACTTAGTCAATTTAGTTAACAGAAGAATCCCAATTTTATAGTAAGAGTAGTCAAATTCTTGGTATATGCCTTGCGTTCCAACCGTTTAAGGTGCTGGATCCGGGATTGTGTGGGAAGGGTGCTCTGGCTGTCCCATAAGGCTAGGCCACCTTACTTCTCTTGATTAGATGAGACGCAGGTCTGCAAATTGTTGCTTTGTTGAAGATTATTTGAACTTATTCATTCAGTCATTCATTTGTTTATTTGTTTTTATTTGTTCTTATTATTTATTAACTTTGAACTATGAAGAAAATGTGTCTAACAAAGCTACGATTGATTTCCAGCCTGCTATGAGAGTAATTTCAGTGTAATTTAACAAGCGCTCTCCCTGTACTGCATGTGTGCGAATGGCATAATTTCGATACGTCTGCGAGGTGTTGTAAATTTACTTTGCAGCAGTGACGGTGCCTCATTTGTCGCGGCCACTTTTCTTCGAACTTGTAACGGTACCCCATCTCCATGGCAAATGCACTCTCACCGATGAGCAAAGTGCAGTCGAGTACTTCACAAATATTAGGTGAGCCCACGTTTATGTCCAGCATACTTTTAAATGACATCTATTGCGTTGTTACTACCCCTCTTCTACATTTCATCTTGTTTGTTTATTTCTCATTTGCTTGTTTTTCTTGAATTTCTCATGTTGGAGTAGGCTTTTTCAGATCGGCTAATTATATACTCCATAGTGAAGATGTGTCTCCCGTAGTGCTTGATGGATGGCTTACTGGAAAGAAGCAGTGGTTCCGTGATGGTATGATTTTGTTACGGAACTTGTGACTCCAAATAGTTTCAAGATAATTTTGTGGATTTTAGAGCAGAAATGTCGTTTGATTCCTACAAGGCATCATAGCGCTCTGCTAGCGTTCGTCACAGCCCATGCCGCTGAAATGGAAGAACATGGCCTGGTGATGAACTCATCCCTTGAGCATAATTCCATTTCCATAAACACAGAAGAAGGACGGGAAGACTATCATATGATAAAGATCGAGCTCTAAATATTCACGTTTTCACAAATTATTGCAATCATCATTCACAAAGCAGTGCTTAGTTTCTTAAAGCTTTTAAGTGTGCTATACCAGCTTTGTTATCTGCTGCTTTTTACCACCAACCCAAACAACCAAGCAAAAGTTCTCCCCACAACTCGACAATCAATTATTATAAGTTAGTAAGACCGAATTTTCCTATTGCATGTAATGGAACGAGCAGTGAAATACGGAGTCTTGATGGTAGTTTGTGGGAAGCTATTTAATACTTTCTTATACTCCTATCTGTTGTATTGTACCGACGGTTTTATTGAATTTGTCTAAGAATAGTTTTAGTTGTTGCATGTTGTGTTACGTTCTATAAATTTAATAAAGAAAATGTGAAACTTCATGGTACTAATTAAATGAGAACTGTGGCCGGGTTTAGGATGCGTTCAGAATGGATCTGGCCACACATTCAGAATTTATTCAGAATTAATTGAGAAACTAGTGGGTTTACTATATACATGGGTTTTCATATACACAATTAGTTGCTAGCGATGGCCGATGTACGTGCAAGTCACTGTGTTTACAATGCGATGCGCCACGAACTTACCAAGGAATACAAGGTGATGTTGGGCGTGGTATTGGATGTTGTAATCTAGGATTCCCAACCTTTGCTGGCGCCTAAAGGAAGCGAACGATTAAGGGAAGCGAATCGGTGATCTGTAGTGCCACACGAAGTGGTTACTTGGCCGCCAAGGGAGGAAAGCTTTACGCTCTAAAAGCAGTTCGCGCACTGGTTTGGTTGGTGATTTGGATGCTCCTACTTTTAGTGCCCTCACTGCACCAACATAATTATGTGGCGTGCTTTTAATACAATGAAAATGCAAACAATTTACATTTTCTATAGGATTTGTATGCATGGCGCATTCCACAGAGCTTTATCCACTTTGATAACGTAACTTTTATTTTTAACGCCTACCTGTCATTGTGCAATCTCTAGCAGTGCGACACGGACGTTCTGGTATGTCACCAGAAACTATTGGTACGTCCATCATTGTCTTGCTGGACCATTCTTGTGACCCTGAGGGAGGGAAAGTGGAGTTGGATGGGGTCACTGCACTGTGCTCTGCGGCTTCAACGATAAGGCTCGAGATAAGAGCGTTGATAACGCCACGGGAAAGAACTTAGATGACATTTCCATTTGAAGAAACTTTTTGGTAAAGGCCGGCTTCTTAGCCTGAAATGGCGCAAAGAATCGATTTTGTCGATCTTGAGCTGGAAGCCGTATATTTTGCCTAGGCCCTGAGGGGGAGGGTAGAGGGGGGAGATAAGCCTTACAGTGGATGAGCCACAGTAAATGTTCAATAAAAAGGGTTGGATGTCGATGTTGTAGGGCATTTCACCGGTTTTTATCAATAAATTACTTCAAGTGAGGGCGTTGTCGAAGCTCACTTGAGATATTTATCCTTAGCGTTATGTTGATCGTTAGGCCGCGTTCATAGTTCGCGACTCCGGAGACTAGGATAGTACGGACAATGAGAA